TTTGTCATGAAAGTATCTTATTTCTCCATCAATTTTGAAAGATAGTTTTTCAGGTTACATCAATCTCGGCTGGCGGCTGTTTTCCTTTAGGGCTTTGAAAACATCACTCCAAGCTCTTCTTGCCTTGATGGTTTGTGTTGAGAAGTCTGCTGTGATTCTGCTGGGCTTTCCTTTGTACGTGATTTCTTTTTTCTAACTGCTTGTAGAATTTTGTTCTTTTGTTAAGTTTCTGGAATCTTAATAATTATATGCCTATGTGTAGATTTTTTTTTTTTGATGAAGGCTAGTTGGAGTCCTATATGCCTCCCTTATGTGTATGTCAAGTTCTTTTCCCCTGCTTGGGAAGTTTTCTGCCATCACTTATGTGAACAGTTTTTTTTTATGTTGTCTGCAGTCTCTCCTGTTTCTTCATTGACTCCAATCAGTTTTGTGTTATTCTTCTTTGTGTCATCCATCAGCTGCTGGATTGATTTTTCATGGTCCCTTACAATTTTAAAGAAATTTTTCTTTTCCTGGTCACTAATCTCAATCTTATCTTGTATATCTGAATTTCTGTTCTCACATTGGCTCATTCTGTTGCGTAGACTTTCAATGGAGTTTTTAATCTCCTAGAAATCTGTTTGCATCTGTTTTATGGATTCCATTTGTTTCCTGTGTTGGGATTCCATCATATTCCTTAGCTCCTCTATTTTTTTTATCTGTGTCCTCTCAAGATTTATTAATCATGTCTTGCTCTATTGGGCACAATCTCTGCTGTTATGTGAGAAATTATTTCCGATTTCTTTTTTTCCAGATCCTATTTTGTTGTCAGTTCAGGCAGTCCAGGTGGTTGAGTATCAGGTTGTTCCATCTCCTTTCCCTTTGAGGTTGCTGTAGGTGATCTGGAAGTCTGTTTTTGAGTCTTGTTTTCATGTCTTCTCCTTTCGATGGGGGGGTGGGGGGTGGGGTGGGAAGGTGTGTGTGTGTGTGTGTTGGGAGCAGTGGTACAGCTATCTGGAAGCCTCCTCCTCTGTGCTGGGAGTGGTGGTATGGCCACCCCTGTTTGACCATTTATTGACTTACTGAGATATATCTGTGTACTTTGTTTGGTAGATTTAATAATGTGCTTTGTATTTTTTGCCATGAAGAGGAATAACACATTTCCATGAACAGACACCATGTTCTTTGCACACTGTTTACCTTTTGGCCTTATAGGTTTTGGGCTATGTGGAATTCCAGAGAATCTTATTGGAGCTCTGCTGAAGACTGGAGTAAAAGGGCTAACTGTAGTCAGCAACAACGCAGGGTGAGTGTACATTTTTAAAACAATTTGGTTGAAAGAAATGGCAATTCTTTGTAGTATTTAAACAGAGATTACCAATAAAGTTTTCCTCCAATTATGTGAGCAGTATGTCCTAGTGTCAAAAAATCATGTTTAACAAGGTCAAAGTTGGACATTACATTTATTCAAATGATTTTAGGATGGATTGTTTTTCATAATTGTTTTTCATAAAGTAGACTTGCTTTATCATTTATAAATATATAAATTAAGATTTTATGTCTTCACTCGATGTGCTTTTATTTTTCTAAATTTAAAATTCAGTATAAAAGTTAGAATATATTATTTTCAAGTTGAAGCTTGAATTTTAAAATTTAAAGATGATGCTTTTCTTCGTTATTTTAGATCATTATTTATAAGGCAAGATGGACATCAATTTGAAATGTTTCAGATGCTTTCTTTTGGTTACGCCAGTACTCTGGATGATATGTAAAGGGTTATTAATCCTTAGCTGTTAATCGTTAACTATTGTTGATTGTGGTGAAAGGTGGAGGATATGTCCACAGCACAGTAGGATTGTGTATCAAAATGGCCATTAAGGTCCATTAGGCATGTTGGAAAAAGCTATTTGTATACAAAATAGTAAATCATCTGCTCATGTTTAGTAATGAAAGAAAGACTTTAAAGATTATGAAAGATTAAAAAAAAGCAAAGTAGCAGTTTAACCTATGATTATTAATGCAATTGAGAATAAATAATATAAATTAATTAGAAAACAAAACATGCTGCATTTTTGTTCTTTGTTCCTTTTCTGAGCTTGGTTATACCTGGTATTATTTTATCTGGAAGGCTCTCCTTCCTCTTTCTTGCCTGTCTATACTCTTTTATTTTTCAGGATTCACTGAAGTTACATATCTTGAAAGAAGACTTACCCAAATAAAGAATTTTTCTAGTTCTCACTGATGTTCTTTTCTCAATTATTTTAGAGACTTTTAGCTTTTTGTTGTGTCCTGAATTGTATTTATTCTCTTACACATATATATTACATATTGATCCTGTTACTTATAGTAGTTTTATATGTCCTGCTGTGCCTAGCCTGTGAGTTTCAGAGTCCTGGCATGTTGGAGCTGGACAAGACTGTAGAGATCATCTCATCTGTTCCTATGGATCCCAGAGAATTCACCTGTATATAGAGAAGTAACTTGTTCCTGCTCATTTGGTATTTCATAAACATGCCCCATGGCCTTTGATCTGACTTTATGTTAATTACAAAGACTTTTGATTATCAGCGTTTTATTAGGTTTTACAGATAATGCCATACTTATAAGGGATGCTACAGATCAGAAGGTAATGAGTTGTATACCAATTGGGATATATTCTGAGAAGTGCATGCTCATGTGATTTTGTCATCCTGAAACTTCAGAGAACACAATTTTACAAATTAAGATGTCCACAAGATCACCAGGTGATAAAGTTTCCTGGGACCACTACAGTCATAAGCCATCCATGGGCTATGACTATAAATTCCTGATGCAGAATAAATGCTAGTAACCTGCTTTACCAAACAGAAGGAAATTAATAATCAGCAATTAATTCTCTTAATTAGGAGAATTTAAATCCTAGAGTTCTACAGGAATAAGGACTTTGTTTTAGCCATAGATGTCAGATAGCTTTAAAGGAAACTCAGTCATTCTGCATTGGAGAACCAATGACATGCTTTGAATTGTTGGGTAAATGGGCAGAGTTTGGAATTAGAAGTAGTAACTCCTTTTTCACTTGGCCAGGGCTCATTTTATGGAAGGATCTGCCCAAATTGGAAATTGTTCTAAAGCTCAGGGCTCCTGGTTATATGTTTTGTTTGTTTGTTTATTTTTAATAATCTGTAAGATTTGTTATCCTATGATACCACTTACCTTGGTATGAAGTATTAACTGTTAGCCTTAATGAGATAAACGCTTTTTTAAAATCATACAGCTGAACTGATAGTTTTATATGAGTTTATTAAAAAGTGGGCAAAATCGAGAACGTGCCTTTCATTGATTTTTGGAATACTGGTTTCCAAGCTAGTTTGAACCAAAAGTTTCACAGTAAACCATATATATTAACCAATTAAATCACAGAGGCAATGGAAGAATAGGTTTGCTATGTTACACACGTTCACTATTTGATGAACAGATTATTTAATACTATAGTTCTGGAAGGCTGGGATGTAGATGACTACTGGGGTATCCCTACTTACATGTGGAAGTCTAATAAACTCTATCTGATAATATATATGTATCTGTTCTTATGATCACTTGTACATAGTTCTATACTATTTAGGTGTAAGAGGGTTTTTTTTTTGTTTTTTGGTACCGGAGATTGAACTCAGGTCCTTGTGCTTGCGCAGCAGGCAGCGAAACCACTGAGCTAAATCCCCGGCCTGGTGTAGGAGTTTTTGAGGGCCCAAGATGCCACCTCTCACTCTGAATAAAATTTCTGCTTCTGTGCCAATAACTGAACATGGAGATAAAGCCTAGTAACCCTTCTGTGCCTGCTCCCCCCAGCCCATACAGCTGCAACTCTGAAGGGCTCAGTGGTTGGTCACTTTGGTTGATTATGAGCAATTCCCAGGATTTGATTATTGTGTCTGGGAAAGATTACTTCCTGCAATTGTTACTTGAATTTCTGTGCTGAGCTTGTGGGATGATTTCATCTGTCCCAGTAACCATGACATAAATGTACTCTGTATTTAAATGTAGAAGTTTTCTCTTCTGATACTTTTGATATTATCAGAGTAAATATAAATTGTATGATTGAGATTAAAATTTGTTCCTAAATGAAAAGTAAACAAGAGAAGTACAGTTTGGTAAATAATTACAACTCCATTTTTATTAGTTTTATTTTGATAAGTATTGGCATTAATTAATGAAGTTTCAGAAAATAAAAATTCAGCAAACTAAATTTTGGATTCACAAAATGAAAGGAATTACACAACATTGATATCTTCCGTACAATTATCTTTTTGCTTTACATTAATGTATCTGTTTAAGAATTCTTGGCTTTAGATTTCTTTCAATCTTGAAAATGTTTGAAATTCAAGTTTGTTGTGCTAGAGGAAAGGAAGAAGATTAAACATCACTCTTCCTCTAGGTATTCTAGAAAAATGTTGTCTACTAAAGCTAAGTAGCATAATTTATTTGAAATTCTATCACAATTAGCTTCTATGCCAAAGAGCTCTGAGATACTTTTATATGCATGTTTCTCTATTAGAAATGATAAGTTCCTTACTTGCAAAAGATCACATATATGTTCTTTATATTGTGAGCTCTTAAAGGACTTGACTTAGTTTTTTATCATAAGTGACTGATAATGTTAAGTCAGATTTAAGTCTGCTGGATTTTTGAGTTAGAAAGTATACAGCAAAATACACTCTCACCATAAGCTATCTAATAACATTTTTCAGAGCATCAAGACTGACTTTTGACCTTCTTGACCTGGTCCAGTGATGGTCTGGGTGAGCACATTAGGCACCACTTGTTTGCTATGCTAGGATATTAGTCTAAAATAAAGCAAAGGCCAAATACACAATGCTTCTCAGTGCCAAGATCAATAAAATACAAAAAGGTCTTCTTTAAACTAGAGCCAGGTTCAAATGTGTAATGTGTTGAAAAACCAAATAGAAAGGCATGAAAGAGTGGTTATAAAAATTTCCAGATCAATGAATGGCCAAATATATTCTGATTAATAGACCTACAGATTTGGAGGAAGTTTCACATATATAAAACAACAGAAAGCAAATGGGCCATACCCACCTTCATGTAGTATTTTAGGGTTATGATTTTATAGGTTAGAGCTCCAGATAACATCATTGGTACTTTTAATGCTGGGTAATCGAGGAATTTGCCAAAGAGACCCTTTTAAGGGATTGATTAAGGCTTAGGGAAAGGAAAGTGATTAATAAAAGAACCCTAGAACAAGTTGCAGTGGTGTGTGCCTGTCATCCTACCACATTTCCTTGAAAATAAGACCTAATTCGAAAATAACCCTTAGCATGGTTTTTTAGGGTTCTCATAATATAAGCCCTACCACAAAAATAAGCTGCAGTTAAGATTGTCAGCCAGATACATTTAGTATGCTGTTGCACCCCACAATGGCTGTATTGAATTATAAACTAATTTCTATAGTTAAGTATAAATAAATAATATTATTGACATTAATACTTAAATGATAATATGCATAAATTATAATTGGATATTTGTAAATACTCAAGCAGATGCCTTTGGACAAGAGGTAAATACCTATATATACAGATGACCTTGAGACTTACTGCCAAATGTCCAATTGGAGTACAGACAAAATGCATGAATAATGTGCACACCTGATAATGAATGGATGTAATTGTGTCGAATATGTATCTTCATAATTCAATTTGTTGCTTGTTGTAATGATGCACTACGAGCAGGCTACATGGACAAGAAGTGCTCATTTAAGGAGCTCCCTATTACAGGATATGAGAGATTGGGGCCATTTGACAGGGACTGGAGTCACAAGAAATTCAAGCCAGAATTTGGGGTTTGAAGAATTATGACAATGATCCAGAAGATGACAACATGACTGTACTTGAATAAATGTAGATTTTTGTACATGGATAAATGAATAAATGTAGATTATCATACATGAAAAAATAAGACATGTTGTGAAAATAAGCCCTATTGTATCTTTCAGAGCAGCAATTAATATAAGACCCAGTCTTATTTTCAGGGAATTATGGTAGCTACTTGGGAGACTGGGGCAGGAGGATCACAAATTTGAACTCAGCCTGCAAAACTTAGACCCTGTCTCAAAATAAATAGATAAAAAAAGGTTGGAATGCAGCTTAGAGGTGGAGTGCTCTTGAGTTTGGTTCTCAATACTGAAAGAAAGAAAGAAGGAAAGAAAGAAAAAAGAAAGCAAAAGAAGGGGGATGGGGAAAGAAGAAAGGAAGGAAGGGAAATTTTTTTAAAATGGAAACTTGGAGTCAGTAACAGAGGAGCGCTGTGGCCACCAGCCATTATCAGTACTGGAAGAAAGCTTTGTGTAAGAAATTGTCTAACTTGCAACTTGTGTGTGTGAGAGAGGGCCCTTTGAATATAAACCCTGACATCAGTGTTCTTTCACCCCTAGTCCTTTTGACAGTGCCTCCCAGTGGCTGAGCCCAATCAGAAGCCTTAGGAGGAGTCCCTTGGTTGATTCTAAAAGTTGATTATTCCAGGCACAGAGCAGGGTAGAAGTTGAAAATAGATCCACAGGGGCAAACAAAATAACGACTTGGAGATTTTCATTTTTATTAGACAGGAGTCACTGCAGTGGTGGGTGGAGGGTGTGTCAAAGTGGAATTGAGCAGTACATTCATTTAACGTATGTGGTTCTCTGTATGTGCTGCATATCCTTGCAGGTGCTTGGGGTACAGAACTGAACAAAACAGACTGAGATGCCTGCTCTGTGCACTTTCATTCTAGAAACAAGTAGATGATACAAGTAGTCAACATAATAAATAAGTACTTTTTTCAGTATGTTAGAAAATGTTGTGTACCATGGAAAGAAGGAAAGGAGCAAGTAAGGGTATTGGGAGCATGGAAGTGGAGGGTCGGTTTCAGTGTTCCATGGCGGCAATCTGGATGAGACTCTGAGGTGGCATCGAGCCGAGACTTGAAGGAAGTGAGGGAGATAAGAGGAAGGGGAAGTGAGAAGGCCCCCAGGTGGAACAGGCCTGGCATGTTTGAGAAACAGGAGAAGGCCAGCAAAGGGAGCGGAGCAAGCAGAAAGGAAAATGGGAGTGATGTGAGAGACATAGATGGGCATCTCATCTCATGGGCCTTGCAGGCTGCTCTAGACTCTACTTTTTTCTTAGTAAATGAGCCCCATGCTTTGAACAGAGCCTTGACCTGTTTGACTTATAAGGTTCACGTTGGCTTCCATGTAGTGAGTTTTGCAGGGGTCAGGAACAGAAGCAGGGAAGTTTTCTGTGGAGAATGAGGAATGGTCTGATACTGGGTGAATTTTGAAGGTAGAGTCAGGATTTGTTCTGATAGATTTCAGAGAGAAAAGGTAAAGTTTACTTTGTTAGTTTTGTACTGACCAGGTGAGACATAGAAGGCTATAGGGGAAGCAAAATTTGAGGAGGTAGAATTGTTAATCTGAAGAACTGGGGGGGGAGGGTGTCTATCCAGGTAAGAGGAGTAGGTTAGAAAAAATTAAAAAGAAAAGAATAGAATAATCAGAAAGAATGTGTGAACCAGCATTGGCAAGAGACTCTTGTGATATGGAGACCTCTAGTGGACAACTGTATTGTTAACCTGCAGTGACTTCCATCTCTCCAAAGTACTCTCTGGAAAATATTTATGTTAGGTACTTGTTGGTTCTATTTTGAAAGGAGAGAATGGATCATAAATCATACAGCTATTTTTATACCTATGATGGATGGGAAATGTTATCAGCTAGATAGTCACCTGTTAGCTGGACATTTTGAGGTGTACATTATGCCAAGGGAGGTAAGAGGCTTAGACATGATAAATTCTAAGACTGAAGGAGTCCTTTGAGCTAGAATGGGCACTTGTGGGTGTGAAGAATATGACACTGGAGACTGGAGTAAAGGTAATGGAAAGACAGTTGCTAAAAGAAATGTCAGTAGTTTGTCACACAAGTTGCCATGTTTGAAATCTTGATTTTCAACTTGATTGCTTGAGGAATTAGTGAAGTGCACTTCTGGGTGTGTCGAGGTAGGTTATGGGCCCATGGCCTTAGGGGCTATATCTGGTCCCTGGTCCCTCCTGTGTATTGATCTTTCCCCATTTCCTGCTTCCTGGCTACCATAAATGAAGCTGCTTTGCTTCAGCAAACCCTTCCGTCATGATGTTCTTGCCTTGGAGCCCGCTGACCATATACTGACACCTCTGAAATGGAACCAAAATAAACCTTTAAATTGTGGTGTCAGACATTTTGTCCTAGCAACAGAAAAGCCAACCAGTACAATGTATTTACATGTTAAACAACTGGATGTCCCTTGTGACCACTAGATTACTTTCCCTCAGCCCACTCTTCCCTGCATTCCATTGCCAAAGTCAGAATTCTGCAGTGAGTTGTATCTATGCCAGGATAGACAATGAGTCTTAAGAATGAATCATTTCCCCCTAAATATCTCTTGATTTGTCCCCTTTTCTCCATTTCTGTTGCCTTTCCATTAGTTCAAATGCCCATTATCACTTGTTTGGACTATTTCAAAACTTCTTAAATATTCTCTCTGCCTTTGAGGTTTGAATATCTTCAATTAATTGTATGCCCTGTAAGCGTCCATCCATTTATATGTCTTTTTTTTGGGTACTGGGGATTGAACTCAGGACTTTGTGCTTGTGGGCAGGCGTGGTGCCACTGAGCTAAATACCCAGCCCTATATGTCACTTTTTAGTAAGGTCAGAATGAAGAAAATCACATTCTGTATCTGTATTTTGGTGAACTCTATTTATTTCTATTGGGTACATACCCAAGAACTGCTGAATCCTAGCATATGAATATTCAGCAGTTTTTCCTGCTGCCAGTTTTTCCAAAGTGAACGTATCAAGTTTCATTCTCCTCATTGTATATGAGAGTTCTGTTATTTCACAACCTTGCCAGTGCTTGGTTTTTTTTGTTTTGTTTTGTTTTTTTTTTTTTTTTTGGTTTTTTGAGGCAGAGTCTCCCTTTGTAGTTTAGGCTCACCCTGAACTCACTATGTAGCCCAGGCTAGCCTCGAACTCACAGCAATCCTCCTGCCTCAGCCTTCCAAGTGCTGGGATTACAGGTGTGCACCACCACAACTGGCTGACATTCTCTTCTTTTTAATTAGCCATTCTTTTATGTTTATGGTGGCATCTCATTGTGGTTTTTACAACTAAAAACATTTTACCCTTAAAAATAGTTTTATAGGACCTTGGGATATAGTTTAGTGGTAGAACACTTTCTTTGCAAGTTCAAACCCTGGGTTTGATCCCAAGCACCAGTAAAAAAGAAAAAGGTTTTATGAATTAAGACCAGTTTTCTTTGTTATCTTAGAAGTATTTTCTTTATCTAGTTGGTTAAAATATTTCTGAAATTTTTGAGAGGAAAGGGATAAGGTGACTGGAAGTGTAAAAGTTTTCATCACTTATTCTGTTTTGTCACATTGATTTTATTTAAAATTCTAGGTGTATTTTGGTCTGAAAGTTATGATAGAAATATGAAGTAATTCACAAACCTGAAAACTAATAAATAAGAGCCAACACTACCTTAACTAATCCAAGAATAAACTGAACAACAAATTTAATATAATAGAAATATTAAATCAAAGTATATGTAATTTAGCAGATACAGGATTATTCTTCTTACCTATAATGTTTTCACTGTTTTGTGATTAATTTGCTGATTTGTCTTGGTTAAGCATGGTCAAATATGTTAATATTCTTGAGCAAAATATGATACAGAAAAAATGTTTATAGCTGTTTATAATTTGGGTTCATATTTTAATGGGAATGACAATCTTGTGTCTCATTAAATACAAGAATGCATCTTTCTTTTTTAGCACAGAATGAATTTTTCCATCCAAATTTTCCTTTGAGGTCATTATATTGCCATTGCATTCATGTATTCCTCCAAGGTACAGGACAAGAATGAATTCATCTCTTTACTTAGCTTCTAACTCAGGATCACTTTGCAGTAATGGAAAAAAAAGTTTCGAGAATTGTAGGATGGATGCTGGTTTGGCAATTGGCTATGTCCGTGACTGCCTGAGATTTTGGGGGGGAGAACATCACTTAACCTTTCAATCTTTAGTTTCCTTAACTGTAAATTAAAAAAAAAGAATGTCCATCTTAGTCCATAATACCACCTTAAGGGTGATACATATATTAGCAGACTGGATTTTTTTTCTTTTAAGTTAATAAAATTTCATCTTTTAAAAAAATTATGTGGTATGGTATTCTGTCAGATGTTCCTGTGATTGTAAGCTTCATTTCTCTTCCAGGGTCGACAACTTTGGCTTGGGCCTTTTACTTCGATCCAAGCAGATAAAACGGATGATCTCTTCATATGTGGGGGAAAATGCAGAGTTTGAACGACAGTTCTTATCTGGTGAATTAGAAGTAGAACTGACACCTCAGGTGAGAAGATTTCTTGGCATTTCTTTTACAATACTAGCTTGAGGGCCAGGGATTTAGCTCAGTGGTCTCACTGCCTGTTGTGCAAGCACAAGCACCCGAGTTCAATCCCTGGTACCAAAAAAAAAAAAACAACAAATACAATACTAGCTTATTAATAAGTTTATATTTTCCGCTAAACATTTCTCTGTGGAGGACAGGATACAATTTTGCCAGATCACAGAATTTTGCTCATAAGCCACACCTGATTGATAGTTGTTAGAGGATTAATATTTTATGCCACTGTATAATTGGAAATGAGGTAGCATATTTCTAGTAAAAATATTTAGGGTGCAGTGTAAAATTTTAAGTTTGACACAACAGTGTATATTATGTCAGAAGCAAGTGAAAGGACTGGCTAAACTGTTTGAAGACTGTCCTAAAAGTCAGTTGCTATGAATCATAGAGTTAGAAATTTGTGAGTGATAGCTATCCAGTCTTGCTGAGACACATCAGGAGCGTGAAGACCCTGGAGGGTGAAACTGGCTCCATCAGAATCAGAACTGGGATCAGAGCCCATATCCTCAGGGAACTGATGTTATTATAAAATAAGTAATGACAACAGTCAGTCTGGAAAGTTTTCATTTTTTTTCTACATCATCTCCTAAATGATGTATAATTTTTCATAGGAGAAGGAAAACATGTTAGGCATGTGCGTAATTGTGTTGGAGTTCTGCTTTGACATGCTCTGTCTTCATCTCTGAATCCAAACCTCCCCGTCTACTTGACAATAATATTACCTCTGACTTCAACAAGTTGCTGACAATGTAATATAGCCAAATTAAAAAAAAAATGTTTTGGTTTTTAAATCTAGCGTGTGCTGGTCTAGAGAGAGCACTTATAGGGCACTGTTCTCTCTGAGGCGTCTCAGTGTTGCAGTTATACCTGGCCACTCTACAGCATTGTCACTGTGCTTATCATTACCCAATGTTTGATATTTACTTAATTTTTACTTTAAGTTTTGTGAATAAACAAAAATATGCTTTCCTAGTCTGCTTAGGAAAATGTAAGCAAATATCATAGATTGGTTGGCAGTTTTTTTCCTCATAGTTCAAGATCAAGGTGCCAGGCAGTTTAGTTACTGGTAACGGGTCTCTTTCTGGGTTGCAATGGCTGACTTGCTTTGTGTCTTCACATGGCAGAGAGACAGGGGAGACAGCCAAGTGTGTGAGTGAGCTCTCTGATGTCTTTTCTTGTAAGGATGTTAACCCTATCAGATCAGGGCTCCATATTTATGACTTCCTTTAACCTTAATTATCTCCTTGTAGCCTCTGTCCTCAAGTACAGTCACATTGAAACTTAAGGCTTTAATTTATGAATTTAAAGGTAACACAGTTTGCTCCATATTATACATATTTTTTCACATTATAGATTGAGATAGCTAATCTTTTACGTTGTGGAACTACTGAAAATTAATCTCTCAGTTATCCTTTGTACATTTTGCATTATGTCCTGTTTTGTCAAAGGACAATATAGGAGAGGAACTTCCTTAATTTTTCTTTTTTCCCCATTAAGCTAAAACAAATTGATGACTCTCTCCTCGACTTAGTGGTGTATAAATAAACAGTGGCTCTATCAGCTTCTTTTGCAGCTGGCCCGTGGGAGAAGTGCGAGTGAAGTTGTAGGGATTACAACTCTTTTGGGGGTGAAAGTGGGTGCTCGGTGGTAGGTGCAGAAATATTCTTTCAGACTATTGCCCAGTTGGACAGAGAGAAGGAACAGAATATTGGGAGGGGGTCTACATAGAAATATTTTATAGTAGAAGGTGTTATTGTAGTTGTTTTAATGATTTAGTCTTTGAATTTTGTTAACTAAAAGTGCAACACAAAGTAGTCATCTCTGTCCATTAGTGAGAACAGAGCACCAGCTTGTTGGAAGAGTTCCAGTGATTCTGTAAGTCCATCCTATGACAGAAGATTCCACTTACTTGAATGACTCAGTGTCTGAGCTCCCCACTGTTAGTCTTTTCTTTGAGTTAAATATTTAAAGGACCCAGATGATATAGGTTAGGATAATACAAATATACTGTTAATATTTACATGAATTCTTTCCACTGATTAGCCAGTTATCTAGTAAGACATGATATAGCAAGACCTCAATGGTAGGTTTCAGAGTCAAGGACCGTGTCAGGACATGTTCAAGGCCAGAGTTCATGCCCAGGAAAACCTTGAAGGGACAGTCAGTTGGGGGTGGGAGAGACTTATGGACCTCACGTTAACTAGAAGAGGACAGTGTTGTCTTTTTTGTTGTTGTTGTTGTTAAATTCTTTTATTGGTACATTGTAGGTCTACAACACAATTACATTTCTCATTGGGAATTGCACCTTTACATAATGCATCTTGATTCTTATTTTTTCCCCATTCCTAGCCCTCCCTTCAACCCCTCCACCCTTTATTCTTTTTTTTTTTTTGGTGCCGGAGATCGAACTCGCAGACCTTGCGCTTGCGAGACAGGCAGCGGAACCACTGAGCTAAATCCCTGGCAAGGCAGTGTTGTCTTTAGGAAAGAAGATATTCAAAAAGAGAAACAAAGAAACTTCACTTGCAGTTTTGTCTAATGTGAAATAAAAATGCGAAGTAATCTTGTCTCTTAAAACCAATTTACTCATATGCCATTCTCTTTCTTACCTTTAGCTAGATAATTTAATAGATCAAATATTTATGGAAAGGTTTAAAATAGGTTCTAAGATAAATTTGATCTCTTACATTATTGAACTAGTGTTATTAATGATGAAAAGATTTAGGCCATACCTTCATACGAGGCACAGTAAAACAAAATTGGATGATATTTAAAATATATATATATAGCTAAAGTGACATAATTCAGATTTGAAATTTGAGACATCAGAAGACCATTTGGAAGTCTGGAGGCTGAAAGCATGACTAGACAAATAAGCAATTGCATTTTGAATGTGGACCAAGAATGGAGTAGCAGTTGTGTAGAGATGCAGAAAACTTTAAAAAAATTGATACTCCATCATACAGTATTAGGAAAATATGTGCATTGATCTCTGATGCTAGGTACTTTTTAGAATTCTGAGTCTCTAGAGAGTGGGGGACCATGTCTGTAAATACTTCTGTGTCCCCAGACAAATAAGTGCTTGGTGAATTTTTACAGTGTCGGTTGCTCCTTTGTAGGGCACACTTGCAGAGAGGATTCGAGCAGGTGGGGCTGGAGTTCCTGCATTTTACACCAGCACAGGGTATGGGACCCTGGTGCAAGAAGGAGGAGCACCCATTAAATACAACAAGGATGGCAGCATTGCCATTGCCAGTAAGCCAAGAGAGGTAAGCCACACTCTCATCCGGGTAATACCAGAGTATCTCTTCTGCATGGAACCTGGGTAAAATCACTCTGGTAAGAAAAAGTGTTCATTTATAAAATATGTTAGGTGAGACTTGTAACTAAATTTCAGTATCTGCTAGTAATTAAAATTACATAGAGAAGCTAGAATAAATATGAAGAAAAGCTATATTTCATATACAATGTACTTATAAAGATTAGTTAACTGATTTTATGAATGATTTTAACAAGTTTAGGAACATTTATGATTGCTGCTTATGCTTATACAGAAAATAGAGAAGTTGTTTGATTCATATGGAATTAAACTTTCATGCTCAGGCTCATCATCCTCATGTGACTGAAGAAGAAAAACAAAGGAAAATCTAAGTTTGAAATCTCAAAAAGCATGTTATAGTTATAATTATATAATGAAATAGAGGATTTGTATCATCAACTTTATCTTTTGTATCTTGAATAAACATGAGCTTTTCATTGACTAACCAAATTTATTTAAAATGCTGAGTGGAATGGGACACTATGTTTTTTGAATGAAGCAGTTTCTATTTTAATTAAGAGATCAATTCTAGAGGCCTGGTTTACTCCATTTTTTATCTCTAGTCTGAGAAATTTTAAAAGTTTTTTTTTTTTCTTTTTGCCACACTGGAGATTGAACCCAGGGGCACTCTACCCCGAGCTATATCTCCAGTCCCATTCATTCATTCATTCATTCATTCATTCATTATGTGTTTGAGACCCGTAATGAGTATGTTCACAGTATATTGATTCTTTTTACTCCCCCTTCCCCTGTCCCACCTTCCCACCTTCCCCCATCTCCAGCAACTTCACTGATACATAAGGGGAGACCTCTAGATGTAGATATTTGAGATACTTAGATTTGGTATAATTTAAAAATTACACAGCCCAATATTTTATTACTATATTTTTAGTACTTTTCCATTCGCCTTCTCTAGATGGCTGAAAAGAGTGAATTATCAATGAGGGGCTGCAGAAACACTGAGCTTATACCTGTGAGAAAATGTGTAGTAAGTGAAGGAATTTCTTATACTGTAACTTTTGTGCCTGTAGGGATTCTGGCTCTGCCATCCTGTCCTGGGGCAGGTAGGGGGTCGCTAAAGTGCCCTTCACTCTAGTGTTATCTCCAGCCGTGTCCTCCATCTGGAGCTTGTTCCCTTGAACCCTCTATTTCATTATATAATTATAACTATAACCTGCTTTTTGAGATTTCAAACTTACATTTTCCTTTGTTTTTCTTCTTCAGTCACTTGAGGATGTTGAGCCTGGGCATGAAAGTCAGAAATAACAGGGCAGAAGGGCATGCCAGAGGAAAAGTCACTCAACCCATGGCACCCAGGAAGCAGAGAGAGAAGGGAGGAGCTGGGGACAAGAATGAACTCTTCAAGGTCATGGCTGCAGTGACCCACCTTCCTCCAGTCCCGCCTTCTAACAGAAAGTCAGCTGTAGGGAGGGCACCTATGATTTGATCACCTTCCAACCACATGAGATATTTGGGGGACATTTCAGATCAAAGCCATAACATTTCACTCCTGACCCCCAAAACTTATGTCCATCTCATTATGCAGAATGCATTTAGGCCATCTTTAAGAGTTGCCAAAGTCTTAACAGCTCCAGCATTGCTTAAAAGTCCAATTCCAAAGTCTCCTCTGAGACTGAAGGTAATCTCTTAGCTGTGAGCTTTTGTAAAAATCAGAAAGTTAAATACTTCCAGCATACAATGGCATAGGGTAAACATTCCTGTTTCCAAAAAGAGAAGTATGGGGATAGAAAGGAATGAGACCTAAGCAAGAAAGAACCCTACTAGGGCAAATATTAAATCCTCTAGTTCCATGTCCAGTGCCCAGAGTAATTTTTGGTGAGATTATCATAAGCTCTTGTGTGGCAAGCCCTGGACCTATGGCATTGCTGGTTGCAGTCCACATGGCCTCTCTCTTAGAGTGGCTTCTCTTGTTCCCCAAAACTTTCCTCAGTATATGTTCCTTGTTCCTGGCACCTCCAACTTCTTGAGGCCTCTACTGCACCTTTGTCTTCGCTCTCACATCTTTGCACACTGCCCTACCAGGGGCATTCTGCCTGGCCTCTCAAGGCCTCCTCTGAAATTGGAGAGGAAGCTTTTTATGTTCCTGTAACTCTTGCATTTTGCATGTGTCCATAAAACCAGCACCATGTGGATGATGCCATTTTCTGACAGATTGCTTATAGGGTATAAAAGAATCAAGCATACTACTCATTGAGATAGGCAGGACATGGAATAATTAAAGAGCTATGTTTCTCAGAGATGTGGTACATTTGAGATGCCCAGGAGACCCAAGAGGAAGTTCATGAGGAGCTCCAAGTAGGTGAGAGTTTAGAGCTGGGATAGGAACTTTGGAGGCACTGGCATAGACATGGAAACCCTTAGGACTAGGGACTTGGGCCTGCATGCAGATAGAGACCATTTCTTTGCCAGATAGATTGGGAAGAGAAGGAAGAACAGTAAAGAAATATGGGAAAGCCCAGGAGAGTCTGATGATTTGAAGGACAATGAACATTTTAGAAAAGGGGGGATCAACTAGCCCGAAGAGTGTGAAGAGGCTGGGTAGTAAAAGGCCTAGAACTGACCAGTGAATTTTCAGAAATGGAGGTCATTGGCAATGCAGGGAGTGTTTTTTCTAGAATAGATTGGAGTAGATTCAAGAAAGAATCTAAAGTTGAAGAAGTAAAGACTGAAATACACAGCTCTTTCAAGTGAATACAGTAGCTAGTTTGATAAAATTTGTTCTTTCCCACTTTGAAATTTTAGAATCACTAATATTCAGGGACAGCTAGTGTGTAGACATCAGGAAATTATATAATTGAAACATGAAAGAAAACCTAATTGCTTGATTTTGCCCTGAGTTAGCAAATATTTACTTCAGTTTTCTAGTTATGTATGCAAAACACTTCATTATCATCATTGGTGTTTAACAGTGAGCTTTTGAAGTATGAAACCATTTAAAAATAATGTTATATATTGATGGGCAGTTTATAAATGTCATATTAATGAGATCTGTATTTATCATACACCAGGTTCGTTAATATTTTATAGCAGGAAACTTGGATAATATCTTTAAAGAAGCTTTTCTTTAAGGAAGAATTTGTTTTACACCATAGTTTAAAAATCAGTGAACCAAAACTTTTGTTGAAGCATTTTCTAAAATGCACTCAGACTGATATTCCACTAGGGGGTGCAGTAGGAATGAGATTGAAGAAGCTGTCTTCGCTGGCTCCATCCTAGCCAAGGATGGAAAGCCAGTGGCTGTTCTTCCACTCTCCTTTGTTTTAATTCTGAGACAAATCCCCAAAAAGAAAAAGGCAGAGTTTTGCCTTATGTTCTCCTCCTCAAAATTTCGTGGTAGAATTAAAAAGCAGTAAACAAAAGTCAGTAGTGTTTCATTAAATCAGTAATCACAGAAGCAATACAGTAAAATGAAATGTAGCATTCATATTAGCAACAGAAGCTATGAAATATCTGTGAATAAGTCTAAGAAAAATATGCAGAGCTTTTATGGAGAGAATGATGAAAGTGTTGAAGGAGGTGAATAAAAAGGAGTTTTTCAGTAAAAATGAAGCATATATTATGAGCATTGGTAGGACGATGGGATCCATCAGATCTCTCAGAACCAATTTACTAGTACTGTAGATCCAGATGAAAATCCCAGTGGGTGATTATATATCACAGATTGAGGAGTAAAGGTGAATGAAGTTTTATAACTGTTTTATGTTAAAAAAGTACCATTTTGTGTAACTTACATAGATTTTTTTCTGGGGTGGAAAGAAAGAGGGACTATTTTTCATGTTACATATGCTACCTACACACACAAATAGTAAAATATTAACATAATCTCTCCTTTAGAGCTGTAGAATTTAGTTCCTCAAATGCATCAAACTTTCTCTCATCAATGCCTTTGCACATTCTGTACTTTGACTGTCCCTAAGACTGTCCTTTCACAGTCTTTGTTGCCTAATGTTACTCAAAATCCTCTGTTGACCCCTCCCCTTTGATAAACCTTTCCTCATTAGCTTGTGTCCCTACTCTCTGCCTCTGTCCCAGCACATATGACAATCAAATGAGACCTATGCAAAAGCCTAACTATGCTCTTTGTCTCCTGCAGGTGAGGGAGTTCAATGGCCAGCAATTTATTCTGGAGCAAGCAATTACAGGGGATTTTGCTTTGGTGAAAGCCTGGAAAGCAGACCAAGCAGGAAATGTGATTTTCAGGTATTGCAGTGGTTTTTAAAAAGCATTAATATATTAATGTAATAACAGCCAAATCTATATTTCCTAAGTTATGATTATGAAAAAGGTATCATAGTGAATTTAATACTTAAATGTTCACTAAAAAGGGCTTGCAGTCATACACACTGCTGTGCATGTTGTATGTGTACATCTGTAAGTGCCTGCGGGCTGCTGCATGATGAGCTTGTGTAGTCTATGCTGATTGGCTGATATCCACATGTTTATTAAATATTTGGATCTGCATACCCTTGTACAGGGTCACATGCAGTTATTTTCTCCTAGGTATTTCCCTGTGTCAAGACCAGTTATTTTCTTAGAAAAAGGACAGTAGTCCACACTTTCGATTTTGATGTTGTTATTTATATACATTTTCTTAAAGTGTCAAATGTACTTTGATATTCTGGAAAGATACTGCTAATGAGAATGTAAGTCAGGTTTTTCTAGTTGTACTGGTGTCTCCCAGGGTATAAAGATTCTTTCTGAAAAGTTGCCTATCCTTAATAATGTTGAATTTTCATTCTCATTATCTGGATAGCCACAGGCTTAACAGATTTCTAGTATCTCTTGATTACCCTAAGTATACTATATTTTCAATATTTAGTGTCTTAGATTTATAGATTATATAATATAGAATTGAGTTTTGAAAATTTTTTAGTCTTTGACTGTGCACATTAGAGTTTCTCAAAATGTGTTTCCTTACCAAAAAAAAAAAAGCTGGACATGGTGGCACATGCCTGTAATCCCAGCATTTGGAAAGTTGAGGCAGGATGATCACTGTGAGTTCGAGGCTGGCTTGGGCTGCATAATGAGTCCAGTGAAACCTTTTTTCAAAAAGCGAAAAAAAAAAAGATGCATCACCTTGCAAACCATACCAGTTAGGTCACAGAAGTCATTTTCTTTCTCGTAATATTATTTGGCATTTTCAATTAATAATATTTTATCCTCAGCAAATGCAGTTTTATTATAATCACAGTTAAATTCTCAGTGACACTCCATGTCATTTTTGTTTATATCTGAAGAATCTATGTGATATTAATTCTCTAATTTCTTGAATTCAGCCAATTTTTAAAAGCGCAACTACTTTTGACCGTTATAGGAAACATTTTATGTCATATCTACTTTATTTGACATGTTGGCGTAATGTTTGCAAAGCACAGTTGCTTTTTAGAGAAGATTGATGAAATCATATAATAGCAAATGGAAATGAATGATTTAAATTATTAAGTTTAAATTATTTAAACGAATGAATCATTTCCAGGAGTTTATCCTGTGCTTCATTGCCTGGCTTTGGTATTTAAGAACTTGATATTTAACACAAAAGCTGTTCTAAGCTCTGACCTTATGCTAGGGTTATTAAACTTTGGTATATAATGAGTTCTCATCATCTAAGGTCAGCTGACCTACATTCTGAAGATAATGACTTTCTTCACACTGAAAGGACCACTGGTCCAGAGGCCTGTCTAGGCTACTGTTTAAATGGGAGCACCCTGGACTCCTTCTTCTCCAGTCTCTGCCCTCCTGGAGCTTTTGATGCCTGAACATCAGGCGAAAGCCAACCCAACAACTGGTAAAAGTTCTAGGATTCCTTTCTCAAGAACACTGCCATCCTTACCTTTGAATCTGAGCAAAAGTAACAGTGGTGGCCTCAAAGAGCTAGTAAAACATGGCTGAGGTTGATTTCCCTTTATGAAAGAAATTCTTCAATTGACATATATTCCCAGAAACAAAAATACATTTTAATTTTTATGGTTAGGGGAAGTGTCTTAATTAAAGAATTTAAAAATGCAAAATCATCAGCAAAATTGGTATAATACCTTCTTGATGTGGGTGTTGTACTTTAAAAATTTCATCAGAAAATGGTTCTTCAGAATGGTATTTATAGGTCACTCACAAATTACCAGTGAAGGTTCCACTTGATTTAAGCAATAGGGTGCTTTTTAATAGAGAATGGAATTACTTTACTTTTTCATGTAAAGCATTCACTACTTTTCCTTTTTTAACATTTTAGTGACAGCAGATTGTTCAGTGAAATCTTTAATTATAGAAAGAAGCATCTTTGTTGAAAGATTAAGGGAAATGTTGCAAACAGTAAATTTTCATTCTATATGTTCAATGTGAAAAACAGTTTAAGCTATATGTTCAGTGTGAAAAAGCTATATGTTCAATGTGAAAAATAGTGCCTCTGTCACTCAACCCCTTTCGAAAAACTATATAAATTGAATGAAGTGGCCAGAATATTTTAAAAATTTATAAAATAGCTATAAAATTTCATTAATGAAAAGTATGATACTCTCTTTAAAAAGATTCATGGATTCTTTGTTAATAGAAATTCCTTTAATCTATAACATTTTAAAGTCAAAAAGTGGTTATTTTTGTTTTTCTTTCTCTTCTTCCTTATCTCCTTCATGTCTGATAGGAAAAGTGCAAGGAATTTCAATTTGCCAATGTGCAAAGCTACAGAAACCACAGTGGTAGAGGTAAGAGAAGAGGTTATTTCTAAATTCTGCTGTTAATTTTTTAACCTTGATTAGTTCAAGAAAAAAATATAACAATCTTTTTGTTTTCTGAAGGACAAACTGATAGCTTTTTTGTTTTGAATATGGAGAGGTCCTATTTAAATACATAATATAAACATTAAAATATTTGTTGTAATAGCAGCTTCCTGGTCAATAGGAACTTCACTAGGATGTTCTCTCTGGAAATCTAAGCATTGGACCAGCTTATAAAAATCCTTTAGTTTTAGAATAAAATCATCACAAACTCCAAGATGAATTTATGTATAGTCATACATCACTTGGCAGGTATACAGTCTAAGAAATGTGTTTCCAGACAATTTCATCATTGTGCATACATCATGAAGTGTATTTACAGGAACTAAGGTGGCTACAATGTTATTAGGCCATTTAATCTTATGGGACCACTATCATCATTTATGTAGTTGGCCACTGATTGAAACAGCATTATGTAGTGCATGACTATATACAGAATTCCAGGAAAATAGTAAATTATATCAGAAGTTCATTATCTTGCTAAGGTTGATGCTGTGAATTCTTTAAGGGAAAAGGTTAGTCCAGATAATGGCTTTGATGTGGTTCCATTTGGAGCAGTTGAATGTAGGCACTGACTCTTTTAGATATTTCAGGATTTGAGAGAGGTTGAATAATTCTAGAGCCTTCCCATTATTAAGGCTGGGATGGAAATAGGTGCTTAAACCAAAATCTTGGCATTTGAGGTATTCCATGTATTTGATTCCTAAAGGAGACTTCAAAATGATTCTCAGCTTGTGGCTTTGAGAATTACCTTGGAACCAAACATTCATGGGAGTTTGAGATAGCTTTCCCTTGGAAGGACCCTATAGGAGCCAGGTTTCAGAACTGGAGAGAGTATATATTCCTGATCTTTCACATGATGGCAGTGTTGTATGTGACATCTTTTCATCGATATGGCCAGGATGGTGTTTCATGGACATAATTTAGGAAAACTTTTGAAACAATCAAATGTTGTAGTTCTGTTTCTCTTGGAAAATGAAGTGCATTATTTTTACACTGTTGAGGGATGTAGTTTATTTTGCAATGGCTTTAGAATGTTTTCAATATTGAAAACAAATAATGTAGTTATCTTCTGTGTAATCTATTTCTTATTTATTGAAATGTTTTAATGACTTTTCCGTGGCACGTATCTGTAGCATTCCTAAAGAATGGCCTGTCACATAACTTATAGTAACCAATAGTTTAACACTCTATTGATTTTCTATATTTCTGTAAAACTACCAGAAACCAATATTTTTTCCCTGAATACAGAGGGGAGATTTATTCTCTGTGAAGTTCTATTGAATTTTTTTTCCTATTATGATCTGTCTCTTTTCAGCTACTATATATATAAATGTATTTATATATATATTCATTAGTTTTATTGGTACATTTTAGGTACACAATATGATGACATTCATCAGTGGGAATTTGTACCTTTACATGATATATCTTAGTTCTTATTTTTTTCCCCATTCCTCTGCCCTCCCTTAATCCCCTCCACCCCTCCCTATTTACAAAGACTTTGTTTCCATTTTTAAGAACAAAAAATGACTTTCTAGTGCCCAAGAGACATTATAGGTATTAGGAAAGACAAGCTCTCATTTGGCATAAGGGGAGAGAAAATTCTTTAAGCCCGTGAATATAATATAGGTTCTCCCTCCCTATGCTGGGAGAGAAATCTCTAATCTGTCACAGTACTGTATTCTGATGGGCCCAGACCTACATTAGGTCTCTTTTGACACAGTGCTGTGGGCTGTCATTCCCAGTTGACTGCACTGTCCAGTATGGTAGCCACTAGCCACATGAAAAAATTCAAAATTCAAATTAATTAAAATTAAATACAATACAAATTCAGTCACAGTTCAAGGGCTCACTAGCTTCATGTAGCAAGTGACTACTATGTAGATCAACATAGAGATAGAACATTGTTGTCATAGCAGGAAGGTTTACCAGACAGGGATGGATTGGAAGAATCAAGGTGAAATCCATATATCATTCTAGTTTGGGAACTTCAGAAAAGCAGCTGTTCAGGCAATAGAATCACTGTAAGCCTCTGTATGTTTGTAGAAGGGATCCACGTTCCCAGAGACTGAGCTCAAGAACTATGCCCTCAAAAGTGGAAAATAATTTGGAATTGGAGATGGTGCTAATTATTGGACATTTTTGTGTATGAAAATTCTATTTTGACTTTGTAATTTTTCAATTATTCTCAGCCTAATGAGTATCCTGGATTTTCATTCCCTTATTCCATGCTATGGTTGTACACTCTATTACCTGCTGTGCTTTCCTAAGTTTCTCTGACCCTTCTCTTGCTGTATTCTATAGTAGTCCTATGGGGTGGGTGGTTATAAGTTATTCTGAAGTATACTATTTCAAAGGAATCTTGAGAGATTGTTAAATTACCTGCATATTCTTCTGAACTCTAAGTGTTAACAACAATGACAGCTACTATTAATCAATAATTTATTATGTGTCAGTTACTGATGATTCTTTATGTGAATTACCATTTTAAAAATTCTCACAATAGTCTTATGAGGTAGATGCCATACTTATCCTTATTTTACAGATGAAAACTTTCAGGCACAGAGAGGTTAAATTATATACTTCATGTCATAGAGCTAGGTAAAACCAGAAGAGAACCACAGAAAAACTGATTTCACGGTGTCTGTTCTTTTCAATTATGTTATGAAATACTTCAAATCATCATAAATGGATGATGTTGCAAACTCTTGAAACATTGACTCTCCAGAGGTATAGTACTTTTAAATGCAGTTAAAGAGATTTTTGTTTAACCTGTTTCTCTTTCTCCACCTTTTTTTTGCTAGTTATTCTGATTATAGTCTTGGCTTTGAGAAAACCAGAATCACATGATTCATAGCCCTGTTGAATTCATTAAGTCTTCTCTTAGATGCTGTTCACTCTACTGAATGGCCTCTAGATTCGTGCAGCCTTTTATTTATTTCCCTAAACATAGTTACTAGATGTCCATTCCAATACTGCAGTATCCTCCCCGCCGCCCCCCATAATGGGAATCAGACTCAGGACCTTGCACTTTCTTTCTTTTTTTTTTTTTTAGAGGAGGAAAGGTTTATTTTGACTGTAGTGATTTCAGTTCATGGTCTGGCTCCAAGGCAGGATGGCATGATAGAGGGGCATTGTAGAGGAAAAACAGTCCTTGGCAGAGCAGGCAGGAGGCAGGAGGCAGCAAGCAGCAAACAGCAAGCCTCCCCTTCCCCTTAAACTCATCCAGGCTACAAGCCTTTTGGGTGGTACCACCTACACCCACAGTGGGGCCTTTCTGTTATCCACACCAGAACTATGCTAAACCAATCAGTGGACCAGTTTGGTACCACACATGCTTAATCCCAGTATCACACAGTCTGGATCCAGCCAGTTCTAAATCTATGAGCACATGACCCTTTGGTGGGGGGACATCTAAATACCAGCCATTGCACTACCCTTAAATGTGTGTCACTTGTGATTTATAAAATAAAATATATCGAAAAGAAAACAATGCTACTAAATTTTAAAAACTTAAAAGAGAGAGGCCGGGGATTTAGTTCAGTGGTTCCACCGCCTGCCCCACAAGCGCAAAGACCCGAGTTCCATCCCTGGGACAAAAAAAAAAAATTTAAAAGAGACCATAAAATACAACACATATTCTTCCTTAAATGACCTACCCACGTAACAACTGTTTGTACTTATGACTGAGGCACACAGTTCAGACTTACAAGCCATCTTTTTTTGGTACAGTACTGTGTATCTTGTTTATACAACCTCAATGTCTTGTTTTGCACAGTATACCTTGTTTATACAGTATTATAATTTTTGCTGATTGTACAGTATAGTACCATACCATAGTTTTATGTTGTTATACATTACAGTACTGCATATAAGAGTTATGCAAATAAAATCAAAATAATCAAATTGTAGTTTTCTTTTTCTTTTTTTTTTTTTTTGGTACCTGGGATCAAACTCAGGACCTTGTGCTTGCAAGGCAGGCACGGTGTCACTGAGCTAAATCCCTGGCCCAAGTTGTAGTTTTCTTTAACCATTTCTTTGCTCTAAATATTGCAATGTACATACTACAAACAATTCCTCATTTAATGAACTAGTCACAGGAAGGGAACTCGATCATTAAACAAGGAATGGCTGTACAAAGTAGGCTAGGGGTATGGGTCAGTGGCAGAGCACTTGTCTAGCATCCCAGGAGGCCCTGGGATTGAGCTCCAGTACCGGAAAAACAAAACCAACCAAACAAAAAAAAACAACCCCAAAACAAAGTAAATCTAAGCAATTTGCAAAAGAATTCATATTGAAAAATAGCATCCTGAAATATATAATTGCACTGTATCACATTGGTAATTAATTTCCCTCTCAAATGTTTAAAAGCAAGAATTTAATCATTTATTTCAAAATAAATGCATATTGTCTAGAAAAGATTACTGTTTTAAGCAAAAAATTTTTTAACAGCTTCTACTGGTAAATCATAATTTATTTTTCTTTAAATACTTATGCCAAAGAATAGAAGTATGACAGGATGTGGTGGCACATGCTGTACAATCTTAGCACTCTGAGAGGCTGAGACAGAAAGATTGCAAGTTTAGGCCTAGCCTGGGCAACTTAGATACTTAATGAGACTCAGTCTAAAAATAAAAAAAAAAAAGGCCAGGGATTTAGCTCAGTGGTGCTGCTGCCTGCCTCGCAAGCACAAAGTCTTCAGTTCGATCCCCAGTACCAAAAAAAAAAAAAAAAGTTCTGGGCATCTAGCCCAGTGCAAAGGCCCTGGGTTCAATTCCCAGTACTGAAAAAAAAATCAATTAAATAAATAAAAAATAAAAACATGATATTTGCTTGAAATATCAAAGCTGGTTGTGTGTGTGTGTGATACTGGGGATTGAATTGCTAGGGTTGCTTCATCACTGAGCTACATCCCCAGCTGTTTT